TGGGCAGCTGGTAAGGGAAGAGGGAATTGGGGGGATTTTACCTAGGTTTTCTAAAAGTCAAAGAAGCTCATGTTATCTCTGTTACAAGAATTTGTTCGCAAGAAAAATAACTTAAGATGATGACTAACTAATGTCTCATGAAATCTTGAGGAGTAATCTAAGCATAATTGTTAGGAATAAATGAACTGAATACATGTAAATGAGATGAGTCTTTAGGTGCACTTTTTTGCAATGATTCTTTTATGGTATGTTTGCTTAAATAGTTTTCCAAATCTCTTTGGCAACTTCCACCATCTAAGTTAAATTAGATGGTGGGAATTCATTGAATGTCTGGAGCATTTCCAAAAAAAAAAAAATATGGAAACACTAATTGCTAAACAAGTCCCAGTTTACCTACTTTTGACCTCTTATTACAAAGGAACTAAGGATATTTGGGTTGATTAGTAAACATGTCTTGTGTCACATTAAAAAACTCTGCTATAAGGAAATGCACGTTTCTAGAAATTATGAAACATTCATAAATTTGCCAATCTAAAGAATGCTGGTATAACAGTTCACAATTGCTTACTTTTTAGTTTTCACTAGAAAGTAAGGTTTCTTAGGATTAAGAAGTCTAATTAATATAATTAAAGTTACTTGAAATACTAAGGGAAACAATTCTGTATGCAAGGAATGTAGGATATATGTTTTTTTGGAGAGAAAAAGTATGGGCAATGGAGATGCAATTTTTTGTTGAGGGAAAAGAAAGTAGTTGTCCTAAAGTAAAATTGATTATTTCTGAGTGGGAAAGATGACAGGGGACAAACTAAAATGGACATAGAAAGTTGTAGGAGGTTTGTGAAAAAAAGGATCTTGGGAAAGGAATTTAATGTGTGATCAAACTGAATGAAACTGAATGGATTTGTTACAAGGGTTTTAAAAGAAAACTTTAATAGCAATAGTGTACTTATGTAACACTAGAACTTAGTTTTCTTTCAGCTGTTAGAAGGACAAAGTTTGCTTGGACTTCCAATTTGCTCCTGATAAGGGATTGTAAAAGGTTTCTCCTTACCTTTTAAGTAATCTGCCTAGAAAGCAAATATTTTGTGTTTTAATGTTCAGGTCTCTGATTACTTAAATCATCAACAACAACAACAACAACAACAACAACTGAGTCTTCTTTATTAAAAGAGCTCAGTTTTACTTACAACAATTTAACTTCTGGTATTTGCCTGAGAAGTCTTTAATTATCACCATGGTTAAATGGATAACTAAGCATGTTTTCACAGTGACCTATGATCCTATCTGACCAAGTGTTTTAAAACCTCTTTGATATTCTTTTTTTTTTTTAAAGATTTTATTTATTTATTTGAGAGAGAGAATGAGACAGAGAGAGAGAGCATGAGAGGGGGGGAGGATCAGAGGGAGAAGCAGACTCCCTGCTGAGCAGGGAGCCCGATGCAGGACTCGATCCCGGGACTCCAGGATCATGACCTGAGCCGAAGGCAGTCGCTTAACCAACTGAGCCACCCAGGCGCCCCCCTCTTTGATATTCTTAACAAAATTTCCCCAAATCAGATTCTAGACGGAGTCTATTTGACCTCAAACAAACTTTGGGAATTTCCAGAGGGTTCCTGGGACAAGTCAAAGGATTTGTTCTCTCTCCTAATTAAAAGAGAGATGTTACACTGATTAGCCTTATTTGTTATTTTAAATTACATGGGAAGCATTGCCAAATAAGTGGTGATAAGCCTTCCTAGGTTATATTATATGGGTGAATGTTATTAATATAAGTGTTCAGAAATTATATAAAATTCCTAAAATTCTGATATGTCTAGTATAATACTATCAGTCATAATTTTAGTTATTATCTTAAAATGTTGCATGGCATAAAAATAACCAAATTTCCTCATCAATTGCATTGTAATGAACTCTCATCAGATCTTTAACCATGGGCATTTTTAAGTCTGGTCATTTACAGATGGTTATTGTTTTACTCTGATACTTTTGCAAATATATTTCATCTTCAGAGAGGCTCATGGAAAAGACTCTGACAAGTACTCTAGAATATAGGTTTCTGATAACTTTAAGATCGTCAAACTGAACTGGGTAAGAATTTCCAGAACTAATAGAAAAACTGGATTTAAGCTACAAGAGGTAATTAAGTGGGACTGAATAAATTGAGGAGGATGATTATAATTTTTTATGCCTTTGTTTGAAACATTGCTGATTTTAAAAATGTTTTGTTCTCCCAGATTTAAGGAAACCTTTTCCTCTTTTCTCTTAAGCTAACTCTGCCTTAGAGCAATTTGGTAAAATATACCTTTGTGACCAAATATGACACACATATCTTTTTCTCCCCACTTCATCCCCCTAGAATTTGGAAACTCTCACTGAGTATTCTTATATTTTCATGGCAATAGAGCTATTTATATGGGTTTGATAAGAATTTGTTCTTTTTTCTTTTTTAAGATTTTATTTATTTATTTGACAGTGAGAGAGACAGAGCAGGAACACAAGCGGGGGGAGTGGGAGAGGGAGAAGCAGGCCTCCCACTGAGCAGGGAGCCCGATGCGGGGCTCGATCCCAGGACCCTGGGATCATGACCTGAGCCGAAGGCAGACGCTTAATGACTGAGGCGTCCAGGTGCCCCAAGAATTTGTTCTCCTTATAACAGGACACTGGAAGCATTGGTTATATTGCCAAGACATTGACTGGAATGTCATGTTTGAGAGAGACATATATGGACTCAGATATGATCAGACAGCTTTAAGGAACTAAGGTTGGCTTTATGGAGCCAATAAAATCTCGTGGGAAAATTGGCCTGGTACTTTGCTTACAATGTTCCTGGCAGTCTTACCAGGTAAGTAAGGAAGGTATGATGAATTTACTTTAATGAAATCATAGAATCATTAAAAAAAAAAAAAAAGGAGGCAGGGGGTTCTTTAAGAACAGTAAGTCCTCACCTCTTGTTTTATATGTAACACTAAAAAAATGATTAGTAATTAAAATACTCCCTATCCCCGCTCCCCCATCTCCTTACGCTGTCTTTCGCTAGATGTAAACAGAAGCTGAGACCAGGTGAGATTATTCTATGCAAGAAAGGATGGGATGTAAAGTCCACTACCATATCCTCCAGCACCAGGAACAGTCCTGGGAGACACCAATCATGTCATAAATATTTGTTAAATGAAAATAGACTTGGAATAGGGAGAAATCTTGAGGAGTGTGGCTCAAAAAAAGAAGGGATGAAAAGATTTTTTGTTTTGTTTTTGTTTTACAGGGAGAAAGAAACAGAAAAAGAGAATTTGGGCAGCTGGTAAGGGAAGAGGGAATTGGGGGGGGAAAGGAATTGTTTAAAGGAAACGGAAGGAATGTTTTGCTGGCGATATGTGATGCAACCCTCCTCCCCCTCGTGTTCAGTAGAAATGAACACTGCCATTCAAATCTCCTGGAAGAGTATTAAGGGGTTTTGGCATGTGACAATGCAGGCAGCTGACCTCCAGGACAGGCACTGAGCCTAAGATGCTCCATTACATTTGTGTTGGATCTAGATGAACAGAGAGGTCAAAGGATTTGCCCACGGACCTAATTAATGGCAGACTGGAACTCAGATCTCCAGATCCCTATTTCACTGGCCTTTCCATAAACTGGCATGGGGCTTAGTCGGCTGCCATACTTATTTAATTTCATGCTGAATAAGTCAGAATGTGGTCAGGACAACACATTTCTGGCTGCCCACACACTGGGCCTGTGTTCACAGATGCGGCACTGGGACTGAATATCCCCAGATTCTAGCCCTGCTTTGACCATGTTACCAGCTGTGCAGCCTTGGAAAAGCCACAGCCTCTCAGAGCTTTATTTTCATCATCTGAAAAATGGGAGCTAAGCCTCCTCCCTCTCAGTGCCTTTGCAGGATCAAGTGAGATGTTGCGAAAGCTGCATGTACAACAGGAAGTCTGAGACACATGTTTAGTAAGTAGTTATTTCTATTATTATCTGTTATATTTGCCAGCATGGGATTTCTGTGGACATACTATGGTTTCCTTTTTTCTACTCCCTGAGCCAATGGTTCACAAAAATTCAGTCATTTTTAAAAAACCTTCTTTTCTTTCATTCTGTTATTCATAATCAAAATAGAATTTTAAAAAATCACAGAATAAACTTTATATGTAACTCCTTAACTAAGAGATAATCCATCTTAAACCTTTTATATATTTGTAGCCCTTTTAAAACTTTGCATCTATTTACATAGAGTTTCAGACTGTGCTCATAATATACACTTGTTTCCGTGATTTCAAAAAACTTAATATAACATTTTCAGCATTTTTCTATGCCGTTAAATATTCCTCAACAATATGATTTTTTTAATGACTGCACACTAGTCCCCTGTCTGGACATATAATTTATTCAATTAAGATGGTTTCTGATTTTTTTTTTCTATTACACATGGTACTTTGATAAAGCCCTTTGTATATATGCTCTTGGTTCTCTGTTCCTTGTCCGTAAAGAAGCTATACCCTGAACTTCTTCAGGTGGCCGTCATGAGGGTCAGGCGAGGGAGACCACGTGGAAGATGAAGAATCATGCCTGGTACATAATAAGCACTCAACACTGTTAGCTACTATTATTACTACTGACTTCAGATATTTGTGGTTAGTACCCAAACAGAACTACATCGAGTGCTTGGTATTAAGTACATCAAATTATGCATTCTAAAAACACTCTAGGGATATCTTTAGAGCTTTGTTCAGAAATTTGCTTTTTCAAATTACCTAGAATTTGCTGGATGTTTCATTATGAAGAGTAATTGAAAGGATGTTTGTTTAGATTTTATTTCTGTGCCTCAGGATGTCCTTGAAGGGAAGGTGGGGGTCTTCACATATTAGAAGTGATTTCCTGGCTTTAGAGTTTAAAGGAAGTCAACAAAGACCGACTTATTTGATTGGCCACATGCTTGTTGGACAGGGTGAAAATCTAGTTCGGTTACCTTCTTGATATTCCGTGGCTGCACCAGCAGCTGTGGGTCAGAAGTTCAGAACAAAAAGTGAAATCCTAGGATTAACTGTCATACTCTTGTATCAAATATTTTTCTGTTGAATCAGCTTCCCATGGTAATTGTTTTCGGGGGAAGCTTTGCCACCACTGCTCTCTGCTACCTTCTCTGTCCGGCGCCGATTACGTAAGATGCTGTCGAAGAGCCACTCCACTGGTGGCCCGCAGCTTCTCTGGACCCCCTCTGTCTTCTGAGAGCCCCGGGGTGGGCGGATTCTGCAGTTTTGTTGGGTGGCGGCATGGAAGGGAGGAGTGTGGAATCACAGGGGTAGCAACCCAAGCCTTGGCCCAGCCACTAACCAGCTGTGCGACGGAGGGCAAATTACTCCAGCTTCTGCGTCTCGGGTTTGGTCTCTATAAAATAGACGTAATAAAATAATCATAATAATAGTAGTAATCATAATAATGGGTATGTACCTCATTAGGCCCACCCCTAACATTTACAGGACCTCAGCCAAGCATAAATGAAGCATCCCCAGCCCACATCTCCCTTCTCTTTCGACTTGGTCCCGTCTCACACCATGAGGAGCTTTGTGGAGAGCGTCCACACCCCAACCTGCAGGTCCTGATCCTTCCACACTCCCTCCCTCTCACCCCTCACTGGCCAGTAAGCCGACCTTGGGAGGGTGTAACTGAGGAAGAGGTCCATGCAAGCCCGAGAAGGAGGCTTGGGCCACTGAGGCAGGTGAGGTTGCGGTCCTAGGGAGGGCCCTTTCCTCTAGAAAGGGAGTGTGGGCTCCGGGTGCTCGCATCATCCTGGCCCCACAAGGAGGGAAGTGGGCCGTGGAGGGGTCTCTAGAGTGTGGGGCCTCTGTGGCCTGGATCTGAGGATTAACTGGGTCAGTGCCTGACCCGGGCTTAGTACAGCACGTGGCATGTTGCTAGCGCTCCATAAACGAAGGATGCTACGATTGTGGCGGCCATACTGTTATGGGAAGAGAACTCAAGCATGATCTCGTCCAAGTCCTTTATTTGATGTGGCGAGGAAACACAGAAATATTAAAATCAACCACTGTTAAACACATATAGAACCTGGACCTGAGGCTCTTACCATCCAGCTGCCTTTCCTCTCTCTGCTTGGCAATGCATTCTCTTCAGCAACATGAAGATGTGGGGTCAGAACCACCTTTAATGTTCAAGGTCCACAGAGGTGACTGGTGCTGTGGTGATTTTCTGAAAAGGGGCAGGGAGTGTGTCCTTGGAGAAAGGGGCACCTTCAGTGGGAGTCAACGCTCCTAGGCCTCCTGTGAATGGTTCTCCATGTTGGTGTTGGAACACCTCAAATATTTACTGCACAATGAGAAGCATATGGATAAAGAAGAAGGTGACATTTTATACTCCATAGCAGTGTATTGAAAGGCCCCAGAGTGAATATTTTAAGTCAGAAAAACCTATTCTGGTTCAGGAATCAGATTTACAGGCTGACTGAATTTCTTTTCATGAGTTAAACATGAAATAAAAGTAATTTTCAAATTTCCTTTCTTGTTCTCATTGTAAAACCTAGTTTGCTTCATTTTATCCATAATATATTCTTTGACGTTTTAGCATCTGAAGATTGCTCACTCTCACTAAAAATTGATTTCTGTTTTTAAAACTGTTTTTAAAGGTTTATTTTTATCTAAGTAATCTAGACACCCAACGTGGGGCTTGAACGCATAACCCCAAGATCAACAGTCTCACGCCCCTCTGACTGAGCCCGCCAGGCACCCCACAACTTTTAATTATGGAAATGCTCAAACATATAGGAAAGTAGAGGCAACAATATGATGAGCCTGGTGTACGAGGCCCTGTGCACCCACTGTCCCCAGCCTCCGCAGTGATTATGTCTGGCCAATCCTGTTTCATCCATAAACTCCCCTGCCTTCCCCACTCCGGCAATGGGCTTTGAATCAAACCTCAGACCTTCTATCATTTCATCCATAAATAACTTGTTTTCTCTACGATTTTGGTGAACATTAAAGCTCTCTATCTGGCCACTTCAGATTCAGCTTGTTCGGCTGGTGAGTCAAGAGACCAACACTTGGGCCCTTCTAGAAGCCTTGCACGGTTCCACGTCCAGAGAACTCAGGGCAAATCAGCTTGAAAATGGAGCCTCAGGCGGGAACTGAGTAAGGGAACATTTTGGATACTTTTTATTCTTTGCCGAATTTCTGCCAACTCTGTATATGGTATTACCATAAAGGTCTTGTTTTCTCCCGCCCCCCCCTTTTTTTAAGAATGAAACTTCTTTTCCCTTTTTGTGAGAGAGAAGCCTGTCGTTCCAAACTCTTTCATCCTCCTTGCTGTTGTTCAGCTTTCCTGCCATTTTGTTCCTCCATGAGTCTTGGTTTGTGTATTCTGGGCTTTGGCAATTCCCCCGGGGGACCCAGGGATGGGGAGGGTGGCCCTGCTCATGTCATTGAAAGATTATTGCACTTCAATCAGTGGAGTTCAACTGAGAACCTAAAAAAGTTCTCTGTGTAGTCACTGAATTTTAAATCACGATCTTAGAAAAGACTGAGAGCGAAAAAAAACAAAAAAAGAATTCCAAGTTAGAAAAAAAAGATTTCACATTTCCCTGCCAGAAACACTGTTCTGGTTTTCGGTTGAATGGCTTGGCTATTAATTAAGTTTTCGTGCTCAGCAGCTATCTCGTTTTCTACATTCTTGCTGTTAATCGTCATATATGTGACACATGACTTCTGTTTAAATGCTAAAGTTTATTAGAGTGGAAAAAAAAAGTTATTCAGGAAAGGACAAGAGATTAGGAACCAAGTCCAACCATTTGCTTATTCATCTGCATATGGTTAAAAGATTTAAAAGAATCCATTGGTTTCTGTTTCACTGCTACATGCAGGCCAAGGAGCAAGGAGAAAAAAAGCCTTTTCCTACCCATGGTGTAGAAAGATGTTTTCTTCCTTTTGCCTTAGGGGCGAGAAATCGTTTCCTCTCCAATATTAAGCCAAAGTAACCAAGCTTTGGAGAGACTGGCTCCTTCTGAAAGGTTACTGTTCTAATTACCTGTTGTTTTGTCACAAATTCCCCCAGAACTTAGTGGCAGAAAATAGCAGCCATTTCGTCTTGTTCAGGGACTCTGTGGGCCAGAAATTCACAGGGCATAGTGCCTGAGCCTCAGCCAGGAGGACTAGAAAGGCAGGGAGTGCTGAGAACGGCAGCACTGGAATCGTCGGGAGGCTTCTCTCCTCACACGTCTAGCACCCTGGATCGAGGCGATGCAAAGTCTGTACTCAGATACGTCCGGGAACCAGAACACCCACACATGGTCTCTGAGTGTGGCTTGGGCTTCTCGAAGCATGGTGGCTGGGTACTGAGAGGACATTCAAGAGACCAAGTCAGAACATCACTTCCCACTCTTGCTGCATTCTAGTGGTGCGACAAGCCCCTCAGGCCAGTTTAGTTAGATTCAAGGGGTGAGCCACCGGACTCTACCTCTTGATGGAGAAGTCAAGGTCCTCCTGCAGAAGGCATGTGGATGGCCAACTGTGGACAATACAAATGACTCAGTCGTCTTGGCTCTTTGCTGGGGTGAGGCCGTGTCATGAGGCGTCTCTAGTGAGGAGGTCGGGGAAGGAGTTATTTCATGCAGAGACCATCTTCTTCCTTCCTACTGGAGGAAGGAAGATGGTCTCTTCCCCTTCACTAGGCTATTTCATCCAGTTCTTACTCAGCTCTTCCCCAAAGCCATGCTTTGTCCCCGGCACCTTCAGTCTTTGTTTCGTCTCTGGCCGTGGGCAGAGGTAGAATCACAATAAACAAGCACATTCCCTGTAGCAGCTTCCTGGCGGCTGTGCTTTAGTTTGCTGTTTCGCCTTTTTCCATCTATATATTCACCCACAAATATGTATGGATAGATTCCTTTACTATTGGTGATGGAGAAACCCTTTTTGTGGAGAAATAACTCACATACCATAAAATTCACCCATGTAAAGTGTACATACAGTTCAGTCGTTTGGTATAGAGTTGTACAACCACAAGCACTGTGTGATCCCGCAACATTTTCATCACCCCCAAAAGAAATCCCACCCCCGTTAGGAGTCACCTCCATGGCCCCTTCCACAGCCTCTGGCAACAGTAGCTCTATTTTCCGTCTATGGATTTGCCTATTCTGGACATTTCGTATAAAGGGAATCGTATGATATGTGGCCTTTTGTGACTGGCTTCTTCCACTGAGCATGCTTCCAAGGTTCATTTACCCATGTCGTATCACGTCATTCCTTTCTGTGACCAAGTCATGTTCCGTTGTATGGATATACCACATTTTTTTTAATCCATTCATTGCTCAGTGGACCTTTGGGCTGTTTCTGCTTTTTGTCTATTACGTAATGCCGGTATGAACGTTTGCGTACAAGTTTTTGTGTGAACGTGTGTTTTCAATTCTCTGGGGTATATACCTAAGAGTGGAATTGCTGGGCCATACAGTAACTTTATGTTTAACTTTTTAAGGAACTGTGGAACTGGTGTCCACAGCTGCCGAACCTACCTACGTATGAGGGTTTCAATTTCTCCACATCCTTGGAAACCCTTGTTCTTTTCTTTTAAGACAACTTTTTATGATAGCTATCCTAGAGGGTGGGAAATGGTTGCTGTACTTAGTTTAAGGACACCTTCCTTCAGGCCACTTACATACCATGGGAGTCACGTGCTTACTTGGAGACACAGAGTTACTCAGGGCTTCTTATGTGCCAGGCTCTGTGCTAAAGGGGGTACATGTGCCATCTTAGTTTAGTGCACACAAGTCTGTAAGGAGGGACCATCATTATGCCTATTTGACAGGTAAACAAACCAAGCACAGAAGAACTTGCTGGAAAAGTGATGCAGTTTGGAAGACCTGCATTTCCTGTATTAAAAAAAAAATTACAAAACTTGGGACACTAAGGTAGGAGTTTATAGTCTAAATGAAAGATTTGAAAAACATTTCCCCCCTGCCAAAACAAAACACCTCTGGCAGATTGTGGTTGGCAGAATTCTTGATGGCCACCAATATCCTACCCTGTCGCATCCACACCTTTATAATCCCCAAGTATTGGTGGGGCCTGTGAATATCATGGGCTATCACTCCCCTGATTATGTTACATTAATACAGCAAAAGGGACTTTGCAGATGTAATTATAGTCCCTCGTCAGTTGATTTTGAGTTAATTAAAAGGAAGATTATCCTACGTGTACCTGACCCAGTCACATCAGTGCCTTAAAAGAGACAAGCAGCAGTAGAGACTCTTACTGGCCTTTAAGGAACAGGTCACCACGAGTCCTACAACTGCAAGGAACTGAATTCTGCCAGCAACGACCTGAACAAGTTTGGAAGAAGGTCCATTGTCTGTTCCAGATCCGAACCCAGCCGTGGCTGTCTCCTTG